TTACGACATTAGTGACAATCGAGTATGCGTCAACATCACTGACCTGACTGCAGTGGTGCCCATCATCGTGCAGACGAACGGGTCAACGCCGTTGGTGCCCGGGTTGGGACCCAACGCATCCATCACTGGAAACGGATCACACCCACCGACCACCACAATCTTCCCGGCACCACCACCAGGACCACCAACCGTAATTGGGAGCCTTGGTGTTAAAGCCCAATGGTCGTTTGGCATGTTTGTTCTAGCGCTTGGACTGTATGCATTTATGTTGTGATGCAGACTTTAGACGAGCATGCTGAACATTCTGGTCATTTTGGAAGCGATTTCGAGCATCATACTAGGTGCCTTTTCGTTGTCCTAAAATAAGGGGAGATGGAAGGAAGGAGGAAGACCTCAAAGTAATGTCTTGTTTTTGAACTCGTGGGTAAGACGATACCACGCACCGTTTTTACTGCATATGTCATTTACACACCTATTACGAGACTTTGTCAATATATCATCATGTCAGCTTGTCAGACTTTTTTTTTTTGTTGTTGAAAGGGTCCGTGGAGCCGGCCGTGGCTGCGTTGTTTCACTGATGCATCTAGCATTCGGGAGCCACAGGATCAGAACCGCCCCGACCTTGTTTACAACCGGGATCTCTTGTCACCAAACATGGCCATGCGAGTGCGAGTGCGGCTGGTTGGCGACAAAAAACGTGTCTAGGCCCCATGAAATCCCACGTAAACACTGTAATAGCTTGGCTAGCTTGGTGACCATGATCGCTGAGAGGAGACCAGCAATCCCATTTGCAGTGGGACTGTGCATTGCATGGCTACTTGATTGCCTATCTTTTCGTGTTGAAGAACAGGCGACTTTGTTAAGTTCCGTAACGGTACGGAGTACAACAGCACGAAATTGAAGTTGGGCCAGTTTCTGGCCAATGACACGTGGAAGAGGCTCGCCAAGACTCACCTGGATATGCGAATCCGACGGAGGTGAATTGACCCGACTCTGTCGGCTGGTTCGCAAACTTCGCATTCGCGTCTTACATAAGGCATGTGTAACTCTTTCAGCCAATAATATGAGAGCACCATATCGTTCATTGTTCGTGCCGCTGCCAGTTAGTTGGTGAGCTCAAGTTCGGTTTCGTCGTAAAGGTGGCGCAGTAAGCTGGCTGCATCTGATATTTGTCCGTCTTGGCTATTAGGATGAAGGATGGATGCGATTAGAGACATTGCCTAGATACTATGTGACTGATCCGGTCGTTGTTAGCCTCAATTTATTTGCGTGTCAAGATGGGTACATATACCTGTCGCCACCACCGCAAGTTTTATCATTATTTCCACCTCAGTTCAGACAGACACCACCCCTCAGAGGCAGAAGCTCGACACCTGTTTGTGCCTGACTTGACAGTTTCCTTCCTTCCAATTTATCCTATTCATCACTTCTGTCTACAGCCTGAGTTGCCTCCCTTTGCCATACCTCCTTATCCTGTCCAGCGACAAACGCCTCTCCGCCTTGTTATCAACACATACACGAACAACACCCCTTGCCAAGAACAACGATGGCCAACACCCTCCCCAACGGGCTAATCCCCTTTGGCGGCGACGCCAACTGCACCCTCGCGCTCTGTCCGCTCGAGTCGTCGGTGCTGCAATACCAGCCGTCCATTGCCGGCAACGGTGTCGTCATTGGTCTGTTTGCGCTCTCGGCGCTCGTGCATATCGTCCAGGGATGGAAGTGGAAGACGTGGGACTTTGCCATCTGCATCGTGATCGGGTGCCTCGACGAGATTGTCGGGTATATTGGGCGGATCATGTTGCATAATGATCCATTTTCGTTTGGTGCTTTCTTAATGCAGACTAGTAAGTCTCTCACTCACGAAGAATGGAGTGTGGTGGTGAAGAGCACTGACAGAGAGGAATAGTTTGTATTACTACCGGACCGGTGTTTTTCTGCTCGGCGATCTATGTGCAGTTATCGAGGACGTAAGTAACCCCCATCTCACCTGTTTGTTTGTGGTTTGGGCTAACGAGTGTTGATGACTGACACAGAATCGTCCACCTCGACCGCTCGCTCTCCCGATTTACACCCAAACTGCTGGTGTGGACTTTCATTCCGGTCGACATCCTCTCGCTCGTCCTCCAGGCGACCGGCGGCGCGCTCTCGTCGGTCCTTGATAATCCGGATATTGGCGTCTGGACTTCCATGGCCGGTTTGATCCTGCAGGTCGTCACGCTACTCATCTTTGTCAGTCTGTTCGTCGACTACGTGGTTCGGTACATCAGGCAGGCGAGTCTGGAACCCAGACTCAAGATATTCTTGGGGTTTTTGTTCGGATCAATCATCTTGATACTGGTGCGGTGCGCGTATCGGATCGCCGAGCTCAGGGAGGGGTATGATGGCGAGCTGATCCACGAGGAGGTCTCGTTTATGATTCTCGAGTCGCTGTAAGTCGAATACCCTTTATACCTGTGCTTGCCAATACGGAGGAACTGATCTTGTTATAGTATGGTTTTGCTTGCTGTGTTTTGCTTGCATGTTGGACATCCCGGAATTGCCTTTGGTGTCAAGGTGAAAGGCAGCAAGGATGAGAAAGAGATGGGTAGTGGTGGTGATATTGAAGACAGCCGGGAAATTCCTATGAATAGCTGGAATGCTGCATCTGCCTAAGATAGTAGGCATGCATTGGTATTGGAAGGCTTTGGGGATCCTCTCTCGTGGAATGGTGTAAACAATATTGGCCAAGTGGTGCACGTGTAAGGGGGGGTTTCGGGGGGTTTGTTCACATTGCCCCTGAATTGGCCCCACAGCCGGCATCATGACGTCATGGGGACAACCGGAGCGATATCGACGCGTGGAAGATCCGTTTCTCTTGTAGACTGGAAATGACTTTTCAGGAGTTGGCGTTTTGCAGTTCTTTTAAATAGGCTGAATTATAATTGTTCAGATAATGCAGGGGGACCTTCTCAAGAAAAAAAGTTCACGAATTAATGGCGTACAATTGTACGTATTGCCCCTGATCGGAGGATCGTCCCTCGACCACCAAGGTGCGCAACACACTGATGTCATGATTACCCGCACACCCTCTCCCGGCACCGACACGCAAATAAAGCTCCCGTGGCTCACGCTTCGAGCTTCCCATTCAATTGACCACTGACATTTCGCGACTTTAAACCTCATCATCTGCTCTACAATCTACCGTGACCTCCTAATCACCGCGCCTTTCTTCGGCGATAACCTTTGCCTTTCGAGATCATCCACTCCCGTCTCCGATCACAAGCCAATCAACCAAAATGGCACACTTCCTCCGCACCCGCAGCTTGCCGCTCATGATGGTCGCCGGCCTCGGCGCAGGCATCTACTGGCAGACGGCAGGCGGAAGCCAGCAGCCGGCCAGCCGGCAGTACAGCCAGACCGCGGCGACGCCTGGCAAGGACAACCAAGCTCCTGTGTCAGAGGCTTTCCAGAAAATCGCCGGCACCGGAGGTACGCGCGCACGCGACGAGCAGCACCTCCAAGTCGATCCCAAGGACACCCACATCCCGAGCATGTCCACGGACGTGGCGAGTAAGCGACACCCTACGAAGACGAGGGACCAGGACAAGGTAGTGGAGTAAACGGTACCTTACCCAGCTGGCCAGGACGAGATATGATGGTGGCGGTGGAGGGCGGACGAAGAATACGCTCAAAAAGGAAGGGATTGTACAATAGTGGTAGGAATGCATTATGAGGAGCAACAACTGACCAAGGAAAGGAGGTAGTCTGCTGGACGGCGTTATCACAAGTGAGGGAGGCTTTGCATTTTATACAGACAGGCTGCACGTATGCATGTCCACTACAATACAAGACAGGCTCACCACCACCCATCACCTCTCTCCATCTTCATGTCTCTATAGAGGTGAAATTCTTACACCAAAGGCTTCTCAAAAACCCTAAACTCAACATCGGTAACCAAACAGGGCTTCAGATGCGGGCACTCTTTCCCAAAGTCCCCGATCCTCACAACTTTATAGCCCATCCGCTCGTACCACTCCTGCATCCTTGCCTTGAACGGGTGCGTGAACTCGGTCGACACGAGCAGCTCACACTGCATGACCGTTTTGCGTAGCTTGTTCTTCGCGTAATGCTCGGCGAAACGAACGAGGTCCCGGCCCGCACCGGCGCCCCGGAACTTGGGGTCGCAAACCAGCATCCCGAAGACGCCGTGCGTGGGCTGGTCTGGGACTGACTGGATCCGCGCGCAGCCGATTAGTAGCGAGTCGTCGGTGGGTGGTGGAGCGGCAGTGGTGGTTTGGACGACGGGGGCTGTTTGCCATGCCAGCGCGAGCTCCGAGTTGAGGATCAGTTTCCGCAGCTCGGAGAGGTTCGTGCGCCGATACTCAGAGTTGAAGATTCCTTCTTCTGCGGCGGTGTAGACTTCGTTGACTAGTTTTGTGAGATGGTTGATGAAGGCCTCGTCGGAGGCGAGGGACGGGTCGGCCATTGCGACCAGCACGGTCGGTTGGGTATTGAACGGCCCGCGGGTGGAGGTTGTGTCGACGGATATGATGGTGTCTGGGATTGGGGTGATTGGTGGTGTTGCTGAGTCTTGTCGGGTTAGGAGGTTGTTCATTTTGTCGGTTTTACTTTGTGTATGAGATAGCGTTGTCGATTGGGTTGAGATTTTATGGTGTTGCTCACTGCCGTGGTTTAAAACGGTTGCGCAGATTTTTAAAAGATGGATGAATTAAGCGTGTGATGAAGCTGGTCTGTCGATTTTGTGATCATGTGTAATGTGTTGGGGTTATTTGGTATTTTGTATTGATCAAAGTCGGTGTAAACAATGAGCTTCCGATTTCGGAACAAATTGACACTATTCCCGATTGAAAAAATTTATTAACATGACAAGTGACATGCAGCAGGGTCGTCATGTCAAATTTTCAGCCCTTTAGGTGTGGGGTCATGTCAACGCACGACGCGTGCACCTCGTGGAGACACTTTTTTCAAAGCGTGAGTCAGCTATCAAATCATCAATCGGTTGCGTGGCCCAGTGGTTAAGGCATCTGCTTTACAGCACCGCGTCGATGAAGGTCGAAAACCCGAAAGGTCTCCACCGGTTTCACGCGGGTACGTATCGCAGAGGATCGCAGGTTCGAGCCCTGCCGCGATCATTGATTTTTTTTTTGTTTTAATTCTCTTGAATGGCCTTCTTCTCCCTTCCCCTTTTTGTATCGGCGAAGTTCTTCGACTATCGTCATTTTGGTCTGCGAAGGAGATGAAGTATGTCATGAGGCTGTTGGGCTACAACTTGGTCTTCTCTCAATGATCTGTTGGATCTTCCGAGCGAAAATCTGCCCCGGGTCGGCACATACCAAAACGGCGGCCGAGGGGCAAGGGAGGACCCCGGAGAAGGAGTTGCCCGGAAGAACGGGTCTCGTGCACTACCGGCGAGATCACAGCTGTAACATGTTCTTGAATTCCTATCATGCTGCTCCGTGTGGTCAGCATTGAAGAAATGGTTCGGAGCGCCTCGGGGGCCTGGCGAACCCCATTTCTTGTTATCATTCACATGCTGGGCACAGCGGACGGGGAGCGTCAAGACGCTTTGCATTTGGCCACCGCAAACCCGGCAATGGTAAATGGTGATTACCCAGAGACAAAATGAGGAGACCTGAGAGTTCAAAGGGAATGTTAATGGCGAACTTCGTTACCGATGTAAGAGTGAGAGCCCTGATCACCAGGACAGGATTTTTCTTGCCATGTGCTGGAAAGTCCACTGATATTTAAAGCCGCTCGTCGTGCTTCACTGACTTCTGAAATGGCTGTATGACGCAACGTTGGGAGTGTCATGAATCGCGACGTAGTTATATACTAACAATCTATGACCGTATGTATGTATTAGTGCAGAGTAGGTTGACGTCCACGCAAACTGTGGGGGATTATTGCTTCTTGAAACAGGAAGAAGTATGACAGGAGAAAGGAGAGTCAGCAAAAGAAACAGCAACTAACCCAGCGTACATGAGAACAACAGCTGGCATCATGAGAAAGACGAGGGCAGAACGCCACACTCAGCACTGCAATTTTAGCCCCGATGGAGGCCATGTAGGGCTACCACACATACATTACAAGACCCATGACAAACTTATTGACATTGTCAGTTGATGCCTGGAAGCACAACTTGTTTATGAGTCAATGAAAGCATGTTTGTGTGTTTAGTACATGTGTGTAACAATGAGGACTTCATGTACCTCACTAACTGCGACATTACCTGCAGGGCAAATGATTGCACTGCTGTTGTTCTCTTCTTCGATGGCGGCTTTGCATATATGGAAAGGTGGCCTCCTCCCAACGCATGGTACAGGTTCCTCACCCTCCGCCTCAGCTTAATCATCTGACCTTATTCGTCACTGCGGTGTATGCCTTCAACTTCTTCACCACATCCTCGTACTCCTTTTCAATGACCTTTACATGTTCGCTGGAGCGCGGTGTGATGGAACAAGGGAATGGCAGTGGACTCGAGTTGAAGCCGTCCGTGAAGGCGAATCTGTAAGCAAGTCAGTCAAACGCTCAAAACTCTGAGCGGAAGCATCAGCGGCTGGTTGCCAATGACTGTACATACATGTCAACCTCAATGTTCTTCCCCTTCTCGTCTTTGGCTGGGCCAATCTCAAAGGCCCATAATATACGAGCAATATTGAGCTCAACGGACGCTGACGCGAGATGCATGCCCGGACATATACGGCGTCCCCAGCCAAAGGCGCTGTGTCCAAGTGTGCCGGGATACTCGCGAGTTTCTGTGAAACGCTCCGGCCGAAAGGTGTGCGGGTCAGGGAAGTCATTCTCGTTGAGGTGTACTTTTTGTACAGAGAGCGTCAGTATCACAGTGAAAGAAGGAACAGAGGGTTTAGGAGCATGGCATACTTCCCCACAGAGGAGCAATAATGGTGCTCCCCTTGGGAATAAACATCCCCTTGTAGACATTATCGGCCGTCACCGCATGCGGAGTGCCCCCAAGCACAGCGACGGGTCGCCAGCGCAGCGTCTCGGCGGCAATAGCACGCACGTATTCTAGATTCGCAAGGTCGTCGAATGTCGGGAGACGATCGCTGCCCACCACCCCGTCGAGCTCAGCCTGAGCTTTGGGGATAAACTGCGGTCCAAATTTCACGCAGGCGAGGAAGAAACTTGCCAATGTACTGGCAGAAGTCTCCACGCCGGCCGCAAATGGTCCCCCGGCGGTATACGCAATCTCAAGATCCGTCATGCCCAGCTCCGCCTGCTGCGCCAGCAGCTGCGTAGCAAAGCAGTCATGCGCCACGCCCTTGGCAGCCTTCTCCTTAACCTCACCCAGCAGCTCCGTGTACAGCTCGATATCCTTCTGCCTCTGGGCCAGCACGTCCGCCTTCCACTTTGCAAATGCAGCCGGCACGTATTTCAGGATCGGATACCGTTCCACCGCGAACTTGCCGGGGATGTTGACCGACACCAGCCGGTCGACCGACTCGTTGTTCCGCTGCACCACAATATCGGTCCTCACGTCCTCGACCCTGCGTCCGTACGTGACCGTCACGATGACTGACGCGGCGTAGCGCTCCAGGTGAGTCCGGAACGACCCCGGCTCGCGAAGAAGCTCGTGCAGCAAGACCTTGGACTCGAGGCTCTGGATGGGCCGGTATGCCTCACTCTGGCGCTGCATGAAGCCGCCGTGCAGCAGCTTGCGCCAGCGTCGCCAGAAGGGGGTGTAGCCCGCCATCAGGCCGCGCATGCCGGCCGAGAGCAGCTCACCGCCCATGATGAAGCGCGGCCGGGACGAGTAGATGTTTCCGCGGCGCTCGAGGAGGTCCCACGCCGCTTGGGCGGAACCAAGGATGATAGTGGGCGTCGGGCCCATCTGCAGGTAGACCACGTCGCCGTACTGCTTATTGAGCTCCTGAAACCAGAGCCAGGGCTTGCGGATGCCGACTTTGATTGTCTTGGGGCCGGGCGGGAGCTGCGAGCGGTGGGCGTAGAGGATCCATTGTTGTTTTAACTGTCATGTGTATGAGGTTAGGTAATTGGAAGATATTGTCGCGGGAGAGGTAGCGAAGTAATGGCTGTTATTGTTTCTTACCCTGGGAAAGATCAAGGCCAGATATGAGAGCGCCAAGGCGGTCGCCACACCGATGGCAACCCGAGCGATTTGTAACATATCTGGTGAAACGAAGGTTAAGATAGGATTCCTTAATGAGAAGTTCGGGATAATGACTGAAAACAACTCAGAGGTTGCCATCTTGATGCTCAAGTTATGTTGAAGAAATGCTGACTGACACCTGTGCGGGGAGATCTGGCACAGCTTCCCTGCCGTAGTAGATATATCGCGAGCTGCAGGTCCTCGCACTAGACCTAAAGTGCGTCTCCGCAGACACATTTTCACAATGTCACTATCCCGTCCCGGGGGTGTCTTGGCCGGACGGCCACCCAGTCCCGGGATGCGGGGTGCGGCCCGATGAGTGCACGGCAGTTGTTAGCGTCGGAGTTTATCTCCAAGAGCCATTTATTTGCTCGTTCCAGCTGTGCTGGCGACGATACGGCAAAAGGAGTTTGTTTATATGCTATTCCCCCCCCTTGAGTCTCTTTGCGGGTGCAGGGTTCCCTTTAACAACTTGATGTTCATGACGCTTGCATATCCCGAAAGAAAGACCGTGCACGCCCTTTCGCCACATCAGTACCAGCCCGTAGTTACATGATTGGGGGCCGGAAAAGGAAGAATGGATACCAAGGGGATGGAAATTGCAGTTGGCCCGTATAAAGCAAATATAAGATGCTTTGATGCTACTAAATGCAGGTAAGCTGCAGAAAACCCCACAACGGCCTGGACCCCTATCAAAACACACCCTCACGCCAACGCCCATGATCAACCATGAACCCGGTCACCCAAACATATGAAGGGGTGGATAAGAAGACCCCTATATTTGACCATGGTCTTGGCTACATCTGCAAGGAGCTTTTGTGGTCCAAGGAATGGATATGCTCGGTTGTGCTTCATGTCATTGGAGGGGTATGCTCACTCCGTCCATGCCGTGGCACGGAGAATATAGAAATAATTACGGTGTAGGCGACGGTATTTATCTAGCTTGGTCGCTCTGCATGTCAGTGGCAGGAACTTTTTCTTCCCGTCCTGTCTCGACAGAAAACTCAGATGTTCTCCTTCTTCTGTTTCCAGAGCACACGGCAGATCATAACCTCGACAAGAATGTCAGACAGTGGTCTCCCAGATTACGTCCTCGACGCAGATGCCGTCCTCAAGGACACAGACATCAAATGGCGCAACAGCCAAGCACCAGATTACACCAAGACCAGACGCGTATGGGCTGAGAGTAAGCATACCTTGCCTACATATATATGCCCATTCCACACCATCCACTAACAACCCCTCCCCTTTCCAACGTGTAGCCAAAAAGTCCTCCCATAAAGCCGGCTCCCTCCCGGACCTCGTCGAGAAACTGGTCAAAAACTGGGAAATCGAAGCCTCGTACAAGACCTCCCTGCAAGACTGGCGCACAATCGACACCTCCTCCTACACATTCTCCGTCAACGGCGGCGCCCCACAGACGGGTGAGCACATGCTCAACGTAGGCACGTACAACGCCATCATCGAGCCCAACGAATACTATTGCCCATTCCATTCCTCATTTGACGCGAGCCACCAGACTTTCAAGCACATGATGCCTAGCTTTGCGTGGGAGGTCTTGGAGGTCTTTAGTGGGCCGCCGCAGGTAACCTTTCGATGGAGGCATTGGGGCACGATGAAGGAGGATTACGTGGGGATTAATGAGTGAGTTCCTCTTTTGTTCCAACCTGCTTTGTTAGTAGCGGATTGTATATGCTGACCATGTGATTCGGTTCGAAACAACAGCAAGGGAGAAAAAGTCACTATCGAGGCCCATGGTGGACCGATTGATATCGAGGGTCTCGCCGTGGCCATTGTCAATGACAAGCTGCAGCTCAAGAAGGTCGAGGTGTTTTTCGATCCCATGACCATGTTTAGACAGATGGCTGGTGATAAGTCGGGAGTTGAAAAGAACTTGGTTTAAATTTCTACGCGGCGAACTAAAGCACCTATCTAGGTAGCGTGCAATGAATATTGTTGAAAACCGGACGAACTTATCCCATACTTTGCGAGCCGAACCAG